TGTGTGTGTGTGTGTGTGTGTGTGTGTGTGTGTGTGTGTGTACCCACATGTGGCGTTTCTTCTTTTCTATTTTCACTCTGCACTACCTCTTTCCTGTATTATTTCCAGAGTGGTATGCAACTTGTGTGTTCCATTGATGCCATTTTCTGTCTCATACAATGTGTACCTTTGCTGGATTCTCTCAATTAGGGCTCTAAATTCAGTCTCAGTGGGTGGCCATGACAGGCTGAGGGCTGACATCTGCCCAGGTGGGACAGGCAGGATGACAATAGGAATGGACTGTAGGTTTTGTCAAGACTACAGCCACCCAAGCCAGCTGCAGGACCCCTGCACCAGCACAGACCCTGCCTTCACCCCAGCTTAGAGGGATCCTAACAGGAAGATGTGCTTTCAAGACATCAAGCAGGGTGAGGGCCCCTGTCCTCCCAGCTCTACAGGAACAGTAGGGTGGTTCTGAATTGGTGCCCACAAAATGTGACAGCTGATGTTCACACCACAGAGCCCAGGACAGGAAGTTCATGTCCCTACAGGAAGGAGTGATGTGCAGAGCTGTCTGGCCCATGCCTGGCACAGTGCCCTTCCCTTACCTGATGGGCTCAGTATCTGGATCCTCCAGCCCCTCCCCTCTGCCGCCACATCTTCTTGGCTCTTCCCATGAGCTGAGCTGTACCTCAGGCTTAGAGACAGCCTTAACCTTGGTCTCAACATCTTGGAAAGGACTTGGTACCACATCAGCCTAGCTGGGGGGTCAGTTCCCACAGTCATCCTCCCCTCACATGACTGCATCTCTGATCCCTGCTCAATGCTCTGCCTTGCTGTGTCTGTTTTCCTGATTCCTCTCAAACTGAAGTTCAGCCATGCATCTTTAATTCTCATCTCTCTGTAGATCTATTTATTTTTATACCAGCTTTCTCAAACTATCCATGTAGCATTGTCGTTCACATATTTAAAGTGTGCACACACTCAGTGGTTTTTCATATAGTCAGAGTTGTGCAAGAATCACACAAGCCATATTAGAACATTTTCATCACTCTGAAAAGAAACGCTATCCTTACTGGCAGTCACTCCATCACCCTCTGACCCCTACCCTTAGGCTTAGCTCCCCATCATTCGACTTTCTTTCTGTCTTTATGTATCTTTCTACACTGGACATTTTTAACACATGGAGGCATAAAATGTGGCCTTTTGTGGCCCCCTTATTGTTCTTAGTGTGTTTTCCAGATCCATCCATATTATAGCATATATTAATATTTCATTATTTATTAACAAATAGTATTACTGTGTATGCATATGCCACATTTTGATCATCTATTTATCCACTGTTGGACATTTGCCTAATCCAAGGTCATTAAAATTTACCCTTGTGCTTTCTTCCAAGAATTGTATAGTTTTAGTTTTTACATTTAGGTCTTTGATTCAACATAAACTAACTTGTGTATATGATATTAGGTAGGAATTTCCATTCTTTGCATTTTGTCTCAGGATGATTTTTGGAAAACTGCTCTGTCTTGCATTGAATTATCTTGACACTCTCATCCAGTATCAGCTGACCAGGAATGTGAGAATTTATTTGTGGACTCTTTTCTCTATTCCATTGGTCTATTTGCCTGCTCTTATGCCAGTACCACATTGTCTTCATTTTGGCAGTTTTGTGTTAAATTTTAAAGTTTCAAATGAAGTTAGTAATTTTGTTCAATACTGTCTTAGCTATTTAGGGCCCCTTGTATTTCCATATGAATTTTAGGAACATCTTGCTAATTTCTGCAAAGCAACTGGGTGGGATTTTTGATAAGGATTGTGTTTAGTTTTTCTATCCATTGGAGGAGTATGATGATCTTAACAATGTAAGTCTTCTAATCCATGAACATAGGATGTCTTTCTATTCATTCTCCAAATCTTACAATATCCCTGTGAAACCTGGTATTTTTGTGCCATCTTGAACTTCAGCTGTCTTGCACCTTCTAAGACATATGTATCTTGCCTTTGTTTCCCACAGGCCTCATGCTATGTTTTGCCTTCCTGACTTGACATTCTCCCATTGCCAGTAGCTGTTTCTACCCCCAACATGTGGAGATAAAAAGTTGTGGAGTTCCAGATCAACCTCTCTGGACCATCCATTCTCTACCATTCTCTTAGCTTAGATATTCCTCCTTGAAGAAGAAATATCAGGATTCTTACATAGGGGAGAATTTTCCATCTGTATCATTTCCCTGTGATGTAGCTTAAGTGGCATACAGAAGATACACACACACACACACACACACACACACACACACACACACACCAGCTGTCCATCTAATTCAACAGAGGTCCAGAGGAGGAATATAAACCATCATAAATGTCCCCAAACCTTTGATGTGTGTGATTCCAGGAGACTAAAGGTTACAGTGTCTAAAGTGAGCCAACTTTGGTCTAGCATACATTGTATGTGCCAGTGTGAGTCAGCTCTGCAGTAAACTGTCCCTCGTGTAGACACAGCACCCCCACAGCAGGGCAGTCTCACAAGTCCCTGGCACTGCTCTGCCTTCTTATTATTTGCTCTACTGGTACCAGGAAGTTCATTTTCCAAATAAAACCTTCTTGCCAGCCAGAAATGCTGTTTTTGCCCCTGGGAGCACAAGTTGGATGGTTCAGCTTTTCTCTTAGAGAAAGGCTTTCTTAGCCTGGATGCAAAGGATCATTAGCTCCACTTCCTTGGGCTGTTGAATTTCTCAAAAGCAAGCATCATTTTCTGCTTCCATTGGAATATGCCAGTAACAGCAAGTGATACCTGTTGATGATGACACTGGGATCAGATGCTTCCAGAAGGATTGGCATCAGCGCCCTTAAATCTCCAAAATAAAGCATGTTAACAATGCAAAACTAGACCAATGTACATACCTTGTGTTGATATGAATAAAGAGGGTCTTGTCTTTAGTATGAAATGAGCCAGGTGGGAAAGAAAACTTTCTCAGATGCCAGTTGTGCACTACTGAGAACTTAAGAAAGCCTGTGTGTCACACTGGGCACTTGGTTTATGAGGCTTTCTTGCCCAGACCTGGACCTTATGTCCTGACCTAGTGTGTCTCTAGCAATTCTCCCCAACCTTCTTTTCCATGTGCTTTAGTAAGGTCAAGTTAAGTTGTACTGCTGTAACAAATCAACCTTGATATCTCAGTGGTCTTAGATATAAAAATGCATTTCTCACTCATACTACACTGGCTGCATTGTTGCCTTTGGACCTGGGGGCAGGCAGTGGCTGCCAGGCTGATGAAGTCTTTATGTCTTAGGTTTGGCTTTGCGGGGGGAGCATGGAGGTGCTTCCTTGCTCACGCGTGGCCCACATTGAGCGGAAGAAGAAGCCATACAACAGCAACATCGGCTTCTACACCAAGCGAAATGCTCTCCGGGTTGCTGAGGTCTGGATGGACGATTACAAGTCTCATGTATATATCGCGTGGAACCTGCCGCTGGAGGTAAGACCCAGCAGCCTCTCCCCCAGCACCTAAGAGCAGTGAACTTTACTGTTTGACAGGTCACAGATCCTTTTGTTTAGTTCATATTTTTTAATTTAGTTTCTAGACTTGTATTTATTTATATTTGTGGTGCCAGGGATTGAACTCAGGGCCTTTGCACTGAACTACAACCTTGGTCCTTTATTTTATTATTTATTTATTTTTAATCAGAATCTTGCGAAGTCACCAACTTGTCTGGACTGGGCTCCAACCTGCTACCCTCTAACCTCAGCTTCCCAGGGTGCTGGAACTACAGTCATCTGCCAACATGCCAGCCACAGGTCCTTTGAATAAGCTGATGCTTCTTTCTCTAAAAAAAGATGTTTATGCTTCTGAATGCATTTTGGGAGATTCATGGATAGAATTTTAGATCCCCTGCTTTACACTGAGTCTGGTATAACAAAAACCTCAAATCCGTTTACAAAGTTTAGAAGGGTCTTATTTTGCTAATTCCAGTTTTATTATACTAATCTAGCTGTCTTCTCCTGAACATACATTGTGTCCAGATGGTTTGTTCCTGCCAGAGTTTGGGGCACCAGACACCTCTTCTGCTCTCACTGCATGGCTTCTCGTGCTCCGGCTGCCCTGCAGCAGCAGAAGAATCTTTCATCTCCCCACCTCCTTCCCTCCACATCCTGCTCAGAATATACCAGGGAACGTTCCCTTGTGACTGCAGCCCCACCTGGACAACACAGTCAGTTCGCTTGGCTTGAATCCCAGATCTGTTGCTTACTACTAAGGAGATCTTGAACAAATCCTTTCATGATCCCTGTAGCTTTGAGTTCTCCACTATAAAATGGGGACAACAGCAGGTCCTCCTTCCTGGGGCAACCATGAGAACCAAATGACCTAGTACCCGTGACCTGCTCAGAGGAGGCTTTGGCACAACATACACTGCCTCTCGTCCTGCATAGCACGGTGAGGTAGCCTGCACTCTCAGCCACATCTGGGCTATCTTCCTGGCCAGAATGCCCCGAGGTGTCTGAGCTTTGCCCTAAGAAATTTTCTTGGGATAGTTGTTCACCAGCAGATGGTAGCCTCTGTGTATTGGGAGGCTAGACCAGAATCATGAAAATGTGGTTGAAGGTATGTAAGATTTATGTGTAAAAAGGATAAAGTGAAGAATATATGTCATTGTTGTTACAACCTCTACAATACATCCTAAAGAATGTAAAGCTCTCTCACAGCACTTAAAGCTGTTAAAGTGCAGGTGCTTTTACACCTTTTTATTATATACATCTAGGTAACATTGGTTGAGCACTTACTATCTTCCTCACTTAATGCTCGTAAAAACTTCATGACAAAGGAAACTTCCACCTCATTTTCCTCTTCTACAAGCATGGATTATTGATATTTAACTTGCAGGGCTCCTTTGAAGATAAAATTAAGCTTAAAACAGAGCTTAGCAATATTAACTACAACCAAGATATGAGGCTATTATGGTGTCCATTTTACAGATGAGGAAAATGAGGGTCCAAGAGGCTCGAAGGACTTGTTTCAGGTCCTACATGTAGCACATGGGCAGGGATGTGAAGTGACATTTTCATGAGACCCTCCCACCGCTGTGTGGAGTCAGCAGAGCAGGTGTCGCGGTTACTCCTGCCTGGTAGAGGACCAGTGGTCACCCGGAAGTGTGCTATGCCCGGAGATCATGAGAGCTGGACCTCCTGGCTCTCTTTGTGTCACAGTGATCCTGCATGGGCCACACATCCTGACAGGCAGCATCCTGATGTTACGGAGTTTGGGTTCGCTCTGTGGAAGCAGGGTGGTTTATCCAGGAGAACACCACCGTGGACTTTCACATGCGGGTGCTCTTCCAGTAGAGTTTCTGCAGGTATTCCTCGGCCTGAAAAAAAACCCTAACTCCAAAGCACGGCTGGTCCCAAGAACTTTAGATAAGTCTTGTTTAACTATTTCACTGCTTCACTCTTTTTCCCTATACATACCTACCTATGAGGAGGCGTTATTTCCAAATTAGACACAGATGAGATTAATGTTATCTAAAAATAAAATAGGACTGTTGCAACAATATACTGTGATGAGTCACCAAATACTTGGACGTTGTTTCTTTCTGAAAGTTCCATTCAATAATTTTGGGCTCTGGTTGATTTGGGGGTATCTAAAAACCACAGAAAGCAAAACCATAGCCAAAGGGGGACAAAATGATAGCAACCGTGCTTCTCAGAAGTGACCATTTCATGAACCATGCTAAAAAATTCAACCAAAGACTTAAATATGGCTGTTCTGGTTTTCTTTTGAATTTTATCAAGGCTGACATTTAAAGGAATTTATTTTCCTTTAAAAAAAAATCACAGTTTGGCTGCCGAAGAGATCTTAATGAAATAATTTGAACTATGTCTCCACTCCCCCAGATGTCACCTGGCTGTCCCTATGCCCAGTGTGAATCCTCTCCATTTATTCATAGCCATCTTGCAGCTGAGCCCACAGAGTCATATTTCAGATACTTTATTTCCCCCCATCAGTACACAGCAGCCCATTACAGGTTCATTTCTGTAAAAGCAGAGTGAATTATTCATTAGAACATCATTACAAGCTTTGCAATGGAAAATTATTTTCCCGTCTGCATGTAATGAACTTCACAGAGAGCCAACAAAGAGGGAAATTGCACGCGTATGGAAAAGAAAGGCAGGAGGAGGTTATAGGCATTTATTTTCTTGTCTTAATCAAATAATTCCTCTAATCATGGCACTGATAACTACTAAGGAAATGTGGGAGCGAGGGAGCTAGAGATGTAGGTTGTCAACATGACGGTCTTGAGAACACTTCGCCCAATAACGACAAAGACGGTGACTAATGCTGGGGCATCATCCTGCGGGGTCCTAGATGCACGCGGGAGAGAAGATTCTATAGCCCAGGTCTACGTGGCCAAGTTTGTCTCCTTAGATGACCCTCTCAGGAAGTCCCTAGGCTTGAGACCTCTGGGAGTGACTCCACCTGTGCCTGCTCCAACCAGAGTCCCACGGTCACTGACACCCCTTGCCTCCTTCTGCTTCCAGAATCCGGGGATTGACATAGGCGATGTCTCTGAAAGAAGAGCATTAAGGAAAAGTCTGAAGTGTAAGAATTTCCAGTGGTACCTGGACCACGTCTACCCAGAAATGAGAAGATACAATAACACCATTGCCTACGGGGAGGTAATTCAGACCATGCCTGCTGTAGGCTGGGATTGCTATGCAAATGCTGTGGAGTCATTTGCTATGGGAGAATAGAGCCATTCATTTTTATAT